TACGTATCTCTGTCTCATCCTCGCTTCTTCATAAATCTATATAATCTATTCTTCTTCAGTCTGTTAGTGTTCCCTAATTTTTCATTTATATCTAACTAGCAAGTTCCTATCTTTCAATTTCCTGGTATAACCATGAAATTTCTGTTAGCTATTAAGGTATGTACTAAAAATTAAAAAGGAAGGGGCATAGATTATCATAAAACTCACATCTGCTCTGTTACCTAGTGTCGACCTGGCTATGACGAAGTGATTACGTTGCCACTTTAACAACGCCTTAATATCAATCAATCCCATGTTTCTAATTTCCTTTTCACCTTACGAGGCCCTAAGAACTTCGTTGAACATTAGATATGCACTGATTCATAAGACGTTTGAATTCAATGAGAAAATAAATTTTTTGATTAAAAGCTTACATATCGCTTCCTTATACAGCGCGCGATAAACTGTCTATATGGTTAATATGGTGATCTTTTTTAATACACTTGGCTCATGGCTAATGCCACTCGCCTTTTAAAACGAAATGAAAAGTATACAAATATCTTCATATCCTTTGTAATCCATTCAGATACTTATTTCTTACAAAGAAACTCATTGCTATATTTTAAAAGACATTTGTAATACTTTCGTCATTTATACGGTTATTTAAATCTTAATAATTGGTCGTTTCTATTCCATTTATTTATTCTTCTTTCCCTAGCTGACCGCTGCCTACTCTTTCTCATTGATCTATTGACCACACATTCATTGGATAGTGAGCTTCAGGATTTCGGTGGAGCGGATTTAGCCAAGGACCATCTATCGCAAGTTAATCCCCTTCCTGAAACTAAGGTTGGTGCCCTCCAGCGGCTTGCAGTACAATTAATCGCGGCTAATCCGGCGGCCATCAGTGCCTTGATCGCCTTCTCCAGCCTTCCCCTAGAGCTGCTGCTCCGACAACACGATCAGTCAGATAAAAAGTAAGCTTAAATATTCAGAACCTTGCGTATCTGCCAACAATTCACAATTATAATTTTTTTATGTACACTGAATTCGTGATTACTCATTTTGCGACTTAAATATCTGACCTCTCCATTTTTCCTCCCTTAAGACTTTCATTGCATCTACTTTTTATTTTTCAGCTTTCTAGTCATCTTATTTTTATATTATTGCCCGCTTTCAGTTTGCAGCCTTGCTTAACTTTTATTGGAATAATGGACAAGTTTATTTTCGCACTCAGCTTAATTTTTCACAAATTGCTTCAGGCAGAATTTTGATTTTCATCCTTAAG